TATAAAACATGAATTGGCTGATTAAATGAAATGACAAATAGAACCTTCTAAATTAAATTCATTTGAATAAGCACGACAAAAAACCCGCGAAATTTTGGGGGAGTGTTTTTAGGCGTATGTCAAATTCGACTACTTCTACAGTACTCACCTCACCTTTTTTTCCAACTTTGTGTCTGTCTCATTTACATCTTTGAAGCACTCTTCTGTCCCCCCCCTCCCCCAATCTCGACTTTTTTCACTTTGATGCTCCTTCCCAACTGTGAAACCTGAAGTCAACCAAAGGGCTAATGATAACTATCAAAACACCTGCCATTTGTTATAAATAAATTTCACATGATGCACAGAAAACACGTAATGAAGGTAAGACTGTGAAAAACTGGCTCACAGTGTAAGTGCGTTGACTGAAGAATCTTGAAGTTAAACTTCAGCTACCTCAATAGCAAAAAGTGATGAAGCTTAACTTTGTAGGATCAAGTCTTTAAACCATCTTCTAACGCGAACTACGATACGATCCTAAATTAATCAAATTTTATTAAATTGATGATATCATATAGATTTCCTAATATCTGTTCGCTGTGCAGTGATTTTGGCATCAATCGACCTGAAATTTTAGTTTGCACTACATGCAAAGTTTGTTTTAATAGTGCAAATAACCTCGATACAAAAATGCGCTGTTTCAATGAATATGATTTTGATCACAACTGTATGCAACCGCCATCTCAAAATGTGCATCAAGAGTTGTGGAACAACCGAGATTAGGGGTGTCGACATTGGGTGAAAAGCGATTTGAAAGACCGCTAATTAACAAAGAGAAATCTCCTCTGAGCTTCAAGTTTAAAAATATAAATAGGATTTGAAGGTTACTTGATAACAGAAAACAAAACGCCTGCCATTTGCTATAAGTAAATAAGTTCCCGTGTGTGTGAAACACGAAGGTATCCGGTAGAAGGATCTTCGGAAATTCTATAATGGCACTTCTCAGGCTTATTTTGGAAGGAAATTGCTCGATGATGCACTGAATTGAAATAAATGGCTTGCAACATCCTAGATAACTGTGTTCTGTAGAAAAAAACATTAAGCCAAAAAAAAGGAATGAAGTTTGAGATTATCCATAGCGACATTAATTAGGAAAACACTGGTCACACAAAAATGAACCCAATGCAATACCTTAACACTGAAAGTCAACTAACTTTACTTAGACACTAAAGAAACTTCGTTCTTGTAGGATGGAGGGGATTCTAAAACCAGAAATCAGATTAAGGGTCACCGATCATTTGATTTTGCCAACTACATGGAACGCAATTAGCTGTACCTGAAGAGACAAATGCACAAAGATACCATCAAAACCATTATCTCGGTTACATAGGGGTGTGCGATAGACTTACCTCCACGTGATGCATCCTGGGCAACGTATACTCATACGGCAAAAAAGTCTATTAACTGGGAGTTGACTTCTGACTTCAAACTTCCATAACCCCACTCTATGTCATATTCGACCCCTTCCACAGTCCTCATCTAGCCTTTTCTCTGCCTTAGTGTCTGTCTGTCTGTCTGTTACATCTGTGAATCGCTCTTCTTTCCCCCTGTCGAATTTTTCTCACTCTAATGTTCCTCCCTTTTGTGAAGCCCGAAGTCAACTAAAGGGCTAATGATAACTATCAAAACGCCTGCCATTTGATATAAATAAATAAATATCTCGGTTACATAAACCCCCGTAACAGGGAGTTTAGAATGCTGAGGCATGAAGCAAAGAAATCCGTTCCTACCAACTAAAGATACTTCCAGGAATTCAAAAGGAATATAATGCAATTTGATGCGAAACACGATATTTTCATGGCAGCTACTTCACATAACCTGCAATGAATGCGGTAGGTTGCAGACAACGACGTTTGCTATCGAAACGGATGGGACACGCAAACTTATTTATTTGCTGCGATCTGTGTTGTCATCTTCCTGATCCATCAAAAACTTCTTACTTCGATAGCATCAGGAGGAGCAGACATATATTGAGGAGACACAAACAATCGGTTATGAAATAAAATCCACACATATTGAGCTTAAATTTGCCATTTGGTAAACAATTCAGCTTGAAGGCGTTGCTAAGATTATTGTTTCCATAATTAATTTTAAAAGTTGGCCGAGTTAGAAAGTCCATTTGGGAAAAGAATTACACCGGATCCAGTTCACCGCGAAGGGTTCTTTAATTACATGGATTTAGAAGAAAGGTTGATTAACATTACCGAATTTCTTTGCATTATTTCAATAAGAGCTTCTATTGTTAGGAAGTAGAATATAGACCGATTCCGCTATACTCGAGGGAGATTCGAAATCTTTATCCCTCAACCGTTTAGCTATCGATTTGCTTCGATTCCGACGCCCACACACCTAGACATATATCACCACCTGCGGATAAGCCATCGTTGCAATTATTGGCTTACCTAGCAGCCAATCATTTTTCGACTTTTTAAAGCCTATTTAAGTAGGTTAATTTTGTTAACAAAAGTCTCTTCTCTTTCACACTCCATAGAGTCTTTGTAGCAGAGGGTAACTGAGGGGTTACAGGAGATGTGACCTCGAATAAACCACTTAAGCCAATTGGTGGTTCATTCTAACAGTCTATTATTGAGCTCTCTGAACCACCATCTTCATATTCGCATTGTGGGCTTTTTCCCGGTAGACTTGACCTCCACTTCGCTTATCGTGTCTTCCTCGATGAGCCTGTCAAGTCGAAACATCACCTTCTATACGCAAATCTGCTTTCCTTCTAATGCTTGGCGTGCCTAAAGCCCACTCATTTATTTAAGGATATTATTTATGACTCCCATTAATTTACGCACATTAAACTTGTTTATAAAATTAGTAGCAGAGGTTAAATCACATTTGTAAGACAATATAGATTGGATAATGAAGGTAAGATAATTAGCAAAAAAAGGTAATCTGTAGCCAACAGATAAAGGAGTAAGAAACTTAAGTAGATTCTAATGAAGTTGGCGAAGTTATAAACCCAATCGCTTCTATACCAAGACCCCATTAAAAGAAAAATGTTTTTTTTTAATGCAAACACAACTTCACTCAGGAAATAAGGAGGAAATCCAAAAATTCGAACACAAAGCATTGGGGTTTGCACAGGAAGTAGGGATTTTGTAGAGTATTGTCCGATAACCTGAATTAATTTCTGAATTTATACAACCCCACCTCCACCCCCCACTTTAATCCTTCTTGGACAGTTTTATTGTTCCCGGTGTTCGATTGAAAAAAAAAACTTTTTGTTGCGCCACTGTGCATGACAAACAAATAAGCAGTTGTGCATCGATTTCAATTTTACATTAAAACGAAGAATTTCATTCTGCGTAACTTTAGCAAATAAAAACGATTGCAAACAAGATTTCTGCTCAAGAGACAAAGGCTTAGCTTGGTTTAGATCCAGATTGTCACAATTTTCACTCTAAAATGAAACATTGACCGGCGCAAGTTGCATAGGTAAAAATAAACTATTTTTTCTTAATGAGTCGAATAATTGATTAGCGGTTTTGCGACCATCTAAGTCTGGGCTAAAAAAACGCCTTCTCAGAATTCGACCAAAATTCTCTTAGTGGTCCAAATGTAACTGAGACCAAATTTTACCAAAGCCCAAAAATGCCAGACCACGTTGTCGTATCTATCAAAATGCCTAATGATAGCATGACATTGATAGGTTATTGTCCTCTCGCGAAATTGATTTACTAAAATTATGTTAATCGACAATGACTGACACATGCTCAAACAATTGACCATCAATGCCTTTAAGGGTAACATACTGCAATTGGGTCTAAATCTCCCCTCCAAATGTTTCTCACTAGAATAGCTTTTAGCCCTCCATTTATGATAGAATTGGTTTCTCTACAATGGATGACTGCTGCTAAGACTCTGATCTTTGATGACTGTTTTCTTAAGTCACGAATACAAAGTCAATTTCATTTAGAGCCGAGAAGCATGAAGCAAAACTTAAGAGTTGTACGGAGGTCAAAAGTTTTGAAAATCTGCCCGCTGAACCAAAGATAAATTAACGATACAAAAGTAAATCTTTATCCAAAAGGGAACAGAATCATTAGTTGATTCAATTTATATCAGTAAATGTGATGATGATTAGGTGGATAAGGGCAAACATTAGAATTATTTCAAAAAGAAGAGAAAAGAAAACCAAATCTAATCATATTTAAAACTAGGTCTACTTATAAATATTAAGTAGATAATAACATTTACCCAAAGAAGTTCACCAATGTGGCAGCTAAAGAGGAGCCAGAAATTGAGAAAACTTGTCCCACGACGCCAGTCCAAAATCCGACAGTCGTCATCGGCATCCCATGATCTAGCAGCATTAATGGCAGCATATTCATTGCGCCCATCTCACCAAGTTTGTAAACGAGAAGTAGAACCACGAACGGTGGTGTAGAAGGTGAATCGAAAATGGCAGCTCGGAGAACGTTTCCATAACCCTGATTATCTTTTTTAACGTTCTCTAAATCGACAATTTATAATAAATTTCTCCTTTATAAGGGGATTAGAGATAATTTTAAACAAAGAAAAGCAAATTTACCAACTTTTACTGCTTTACTCCGATTTTTTTCAGAGAAGCCTTTATAAGTAGTAGCAATCCAAAAGCCGGTCAGATAAAACGCACAGAGTGAAGAAAATAAAGCTGACAGCGAAAAGAGAGAGGATAAACAGGAGAAGAGTCCTCCGCCTACCACTGCTCCAAACTTATAACCCACCACTTGGGCTGTATTTCCTTGAGGCAGTTCAGAGTGGGAAAGGATCCCTATCACAGTTTGTAATTGATTTCAGGCTAAAATTACCTATGGCAAGAGAATCCACAGCTATGTCAAGTGTAGCGGCGCAGAAATTGAAAATAAATAGCGTAGCCGGAAGAAGACGAGTGGAATTGACTAGCTGAATCTCAGGAAAAGATGAAAGGAATGCGGTGCAGAGAAAAAGACCAATAATACTGCATTGCAACCAACTTCGTTTCGTGAAGTGGCTGTCAACAAATGGAGCATAGACGCTTTTTAAAACCCAGGGAATGTAAAGGAGTTTATAAAATCCAAGAGAGGTCAGTGAGACACCATGAGATCGGAGTACGAGAGGAAGGAAACGAGACTGGAGGCCGTAGGGCACACCTTGCAAAGCGTAAAGAAAGAACAAGACAAGTAAATGAGAGGAAGGCTAAAATGTAAGAAAAGCATCCAATTATAGACTAAAAGTATTAAGAATCAGGCGACAAAAATGAAAATAAAAGCATTATAGAAAGGTTTTACCCATAATATAAAAACACATATATAATAAAATAAGTGTAAACATACCATGTATACATTCATGAAAAAAATAACGTCGAACAGATGATTTTGAATTCGCCCGAGGTCGTTAGGTAACCGTAAACTCAGTTTTCGCCTTAATTATCTTTTATTTAGCAAGTTGTGCCCTCAAATATAAATTTCACATATAATTGAAAAAAATCCTTTTTAGAAACTTTCGTAACTTTATATTAGGTAAATATTAGTGTGCATGTGCATAATAATAATAATAAATAAATAAGTGTCATCAAACTTGAATTTTTATATTTTTTATTTCATTTGTTTCAAAATATCCTCGACGATCTCTGCTCTGTTGCAAAAGATAAAGCATCTAATCTTCATTGAGTTCTACGACAATAGTTGTGATAAATGTAACATTTTTGAAACATCCATTAGTGTATGAAATTAAAAGGGAAAGATGAAATTTTTGATAATATATTGCTTAAATAACAAGGAATATTTTGAAATACGTGCGTCTTTGATTGCTGGTCGTTTTGTCCCTTCTTTGTTTCCATACCTAAGAGTTAGTTTTAATATTTCTAAAATCATGTAATAACACATGAAGGATTAAACTAGTCAGTGACTTAAGTCTAACAAGTTTCCCCATTCTATTAAATAAGGATTTTTTATGTGGTGCTTATCATTATTCCATCCTATCCCCTCTCCCTAGTCTAAAAATATTGCTACCTGTAGTTTCAGGGGGAGGGGATACAGAGTCTAATTCATTTCTGACTTAATATGTAGATTTTATTCGAAAACGATCTTGGCTTGATATCTTTCGTTAACATGTCTGATATTTGCATAGCGATAGGCACCTGTAAGAAGACTTTATTGAGGATTCTAAACTGGCTAAAAACTCAGAAGAGGAGTAAGAGTATTAATTTTTGAAGGTGAAATAAAATATATGGAAACTTGAGATATGCGGATTTAAAATGCATATACATTCTGGTTGAATCCCTTTATATCCATGGAAGAGGGTATTTGAGAGGTTAAAAAGAGTTGTTTAGTTATAAACACCTTTACTATTAGTTTTGTAAGTGCAGCCTTGCATTCATTTGCAACGCATCCATTATCTCATGGAAATGTGGAATAAAGCAACTTTAATGGCATATTTCACCTTCTATTTACTAATAAATCAATCATTAACTAATAGGGAACTCCCTGGGGATCTTTAACGCTTTGCTCTATGGCACAATGGAAATCAGAACAAAACATCCTTTACTTAAAAATAAAACAGTCATCTTGTTTTCAAATCATTTGATTTCCTTGTTTTGTGCGTCTCCTCAAGCCTGGCTCCTGCATTCAGTTATTTTGAGTGCAATTCAACCCTTAGAATGCTTCATTCAGAGTATACCTCTTTGAACACATTTTCCGCCGATTGAACACAAAAAAACGAGAGCGTCCTGTTTATAATTAAAAGAGCTTGGACCTCATGTGTGATAATGGCATGAATGTTTCATTTTGGAGAGTGAGGGTGATAGAGAGAGAGGAGGGGGTGGGGAGAGATCATGTTTTCTTCCTTATCTGACTGGAATATCGCCTGCAAATCAAAAAAGTATGTAATAAATATCTTTTCTTCGCTTCTGGATTTGTGCAGTTTAGTTCTATTGAAGTAGATTACTTCTGGGTACTTCGATTCCTTAATGTGCACCGAAGTATTCATTAATGTCGACAATATGACGGCGAACCAAAAAACTGCGTTAAATAAAAAACACGGTATGAAAAAAGGAAGGTAAATTACTAAAAGAAAATAACGCGTTGTTTTAATTTGTCGGCTGGGATGTGCCTGTTGCTGTTCATCTGTTATTACCCAAGACAACAAAGAAATTTTTCCTCTAAGTTTCAGGTTCACTGATTTTCCCGCTTTTATTCAGGTCTAGATTGCAATGCCTAGAGTGAACACCTTATAATTTCGAGTAAATTAATGAATTTGTCTTAGTCAGAGTAATTTGAACAATTTGAGTGGATGGACATAAAGCCTTCACACATCATTCACTTGTTTTTTTTTTTAAATTTATATTTGATGAAACGGTGACACACATAAGTTTGAAAGTACATCGATTTCTAAAATTTAAGCGTCGATTGAAAATATGGAAAGTAAAAATATCATTTGCCATTTGATATAAATAAATAAATATATATCAAATGGCAGGCGTCTTGATGGTTATCATTAGCCCCATATCAAATGGCAGGCTGTTCCCAATTATTTATTTATTTATATCAAATGGCAGGAGTTTTGAAGATAGTTATCATTAGCCCTGTATCAAATGGCAGGCGTCTTGATGGTTATCATTAGCCCTTACTTCAGGCTTCACAGAGAGGAAGGTACATCAAATTGAAAAGAGTCGAGAGGGGGGGGGTGACAGAAGAGTGTTATAAAGATGCTTTGAATGTAAAGTAATAACTGAATTTCGTTGTCCAAATTTACTTACTTAGGTGCTAATTTGCGTGTTCACAAAGTCGAAAATAAGCTATCCCTCCCAAAACAGTCAACTACAATTTTTGCCTTAATCGAGATTTATTTCTAAATCCATACTTTTCCCGATTGGCATAAGCTCTACGGAAATCCTCCCTTATTTCCACACTATATAGCCCCTTGAAGAAGGAATAAGCTTTGTACTTGACTTTTTCTGAATAAATACATCCCAATACCGACTGAGGGTCAAATAAAAGTCTTTTCTGGGAGAATGCGAATTATGTGAAGATTGCAACCAAGACCAACTTTTACTCTGTTTTTTTCTCCTAATTTTTGCTGGTCCATGGTCGCCTGTTTCATTTGACATAAATAAATCCTCCTATATGTGCTGGGAAGCTCTTCAATGAAATTAAAGACGATTTTTTTGAAGGTAAGGACTTAAAAATTCATAATTTAACATCTCGTTTAGCTTGATGATAAATAAATACATTTTTATTTGACTACTCTAGTAGTTTTAAATTTATCGAGGCATGTGATCTGATGCAGGGAGAAATCATAGAGTTTGATGTGGACTCAGTTGAGAATTGAAGGCAACTTGCATTGAGCAAACCGCTTGAACGGTGCTCCACAGTCAAGGTCAAACAGGCCAAGAAATTTGATAGCGTCGAGCGCAGTTTGACGTAACTTGATCAGTCAGGCTCTGAGGAAGCAAAGGAGACGATAAAACCTTCTTAATACCAGCATTAATATAGGTTTGAGCGAACGAAGAAAATTTAATGCTGAATTTGTTAAAAAGTGAAGCTAAAATAGCTATCCGAAGTGGATAAGTTGTGAACGATCATTTTCAAAGATTTTTGTACTTCAGATAAATCATAATGAACTACTTAAAGAAAAAAATCATTAGGAAAAGTTTCAAAATAAATAAAACTTCAATTTGAATAGTTGACTTATATATTTAAAATCTCCCGTTCAGTTATATGTCTCAAGAATAACTCCTGCGTGTTATTAATCATAATCATGAAAGACAAAAAAATGTTTGGATATATAAGCAGCTGTGTGCAATTATTCATATTTTACGAAAGAAAAACAAAAAAGCCAGTGAAATTCGCACCTCTTATTGGCAAGAATGCACCGTGTTGCTAACTTACATAATTTAAACAAACTGGAAGCAAACTCAAACCCATTCTTAATTGATTTCTAAATAATTTTTTTCGATTCTTGATAAAAATAAGGAACAAAATACGAGTCCTATCATTTTGGGATCATAATGGAAGTGGAAATATGCCATATTGATCAGAAAATTTAAGTCGTCAGTGAATCTGGGGCAATTTCACAATTAATTCGAACTTTAACATGTAAAGTAAATAAGTTGTAGTAAGACATCATTCATTACTTCGCTCACTGCAGCAATTAGATTATATACAAAAGATTTCAATTATTATCAAGAGGAACACGAATGTGGGTAGAAATATTTATTTATTTATATCAAATGGCAGGCGTTTTGATAGTTATCATTAGCCCTTTAGCTGACTTTAGGCTTCACAGAGGGGAAGGAACATCAAAGTGAAAAAAGTCGAGTTGGTTTAGGGAACATAAGAGTACTTCAAAGATGTAAAAGAGACAGGTACAAAGGTAGAAAAAAGGTGATGTGTGTACTATGGATGTAGTCGAATATGACACACGGTGAGGTGATGGTAGTTTGAAGTCAGAAGTCAACTGCCGGTTAATGGACTTTTTTGCCGTATGAGTAAACCTTTCCCAGGGAGCACCACGCGGA